CAGGCCGACCACCACCACTACTACTACTCAAAAGCCAACTCCTACGCCTACCACCACTACTACTACCCAAAAGCCAACTCCCAGGCCGACCACCACCACTACTACTACACAAGAGCCAACTCACAGGCCGACCACTACGACAACCCGCCGGCCTATCACTACAACATTGGCTCCCATAGTAACCACTGAAGGCTGTACGTGCGTCTGTCCGACAACAGCACCCGTCACCATCAGTACCACACCAACACTTACTAGTACACAGCCCACCAGCGCCCCGACCACACCGACTACCCGGCCCACTACTAGACGCCCAGCAACTACGCCGAAACCGGGTTTCCAGTGCCCCGTAGAGGACATCGTACGCACCCTATGCTTAGGCCCTAAGGACTGTCTCTACCCTAACCCGAATGGCTGCGACACATACATCCACTGCACGGTTGACTACGGCAGTCGCACCGGTACGCCAGTGGTGATGCCCTGTCCCGGTGGCCTGTTGTGGAACGATAACATTAAGGAGTGCGACAACCCCTCCAAATCTACCTGTCCTCGTGGTTACTAGCTGTTTTTATGGGGGGCACTCATTATTTGATGTTTTGTCATTTGAAAGCCTATCACACAGAGAGTAAATATATACAAAAATACGTTCATTTGAATCAGAGATCAATAAATTATGACTAAAACAGATCATAATAAATGTAAAAAGTTTTAAAATTCACTGAAAAGGCCCTCAACTTAAGGCCAAAAACCAAGAATTTTTTGTAATTTTTTATCTAATTTTAAAATAAATCATAATTATTTATAATCACTTTGTTTTTGATACATTTTTTGTCATGCAATTGCAATTGCTGATTTTTTTATAAAGTTATTTGTTATTTTTGTTGAAAAATTATTTTTAGTTAACCGTAGGCAATACCTTTGTATAAAAAGTTTAATATTTAAAATTCAAACATTTTGGCATCTACACACTTAATCAGTATAGTTTTAAATCATTTTATTACCAATGTATAAAAATAGAGGTTGATGACAAAATAAATTAGATACAGTAATTAACTGCAGAAAAATTAACTTTTTATTAAATAAAGATTTATAATTTTGAATTGTAATTTTTATTTATAAATTTTTAAAATTATTAGTTCATAATATTATAACATGTGCATATACATGTGTAATTTAATATTTTTTCTAGTAATAACTTTTAAATTTTAACACTTATTTAAGCAATTGTACAGTTAATTGGCTGATCCGTACCAATATATGTGATCCTGGACGCAATACTCGTATCCCTAATAGCCCATACGTTACGGCTATCGGTGCAATTAAATTCATTAAACGCGAGTACTAATGAACTATTAGGGTGACCAGCGAAAAAGTCCCCAAAAATACTCTTGTCCAAATAAGTCCAAAATGGTGGTATTGGGGTAATGTTACCATATATATCAATTGAAATGTTAATTACAGTCATTTTAACTGGACGACCCAGATCACTTAGGGCTTTAGTATCAAACGATGAGCTTGTTAGTTTGGGATTGTTTATTAACTCTAATGATAAGGTATTGTTTGAGGGACTGAATGTAACAATATTTTCTCCGATTCCTTGTAGTTGTGTCTCTTGTATTACCATAAAGTTTAACCGGGGTAATCCATAAAAAGCGTACGGCTCAATTAGGGTCAGGTTCTCTTGTATAACAATATACCCTAAGTGTGTCAACCCATCGAATGCTTTATTCGGAATAAAAGTTATGTTTGTATAACTTAACTGTAATCTTTCGAGCTTGGTGAAATTTCTAATAATTTCGAATATATCGGCGCCATTTGGATTTAAATTAGGTGTGCCCGACAATACAAATGACTTTAGGGGGTGTCCACTAAATGCGTTGACATCTATAGATTTTAGTGACTCGTCAACGTCCACATTAAAGGAATCGAATGTGAATTCCGCAAAATCATTTGAATTGATCATGGTGATATTAGTGCCCATTAAACTTAGGTCATTAAACGAGTGTATTTGACTTGGTGATAAACGTTGACTTAAGTTGGTAAATATTGGTGCCAAATTAGTGATTGTGTTACCTTTGCAATATAATATGAAACGATCTAGATTTGAATTGCTTGGTGATATATCATGACACAAACAAGGTGACAGGTCAACGGATGGACATGTAGCTAATAATAGACCATAATTAAGTGTCATAACAATTAAACATATCAATACGATTGACTTTAATGAAAACATTTTTCAAATTAAATATTTTTTAAGTATTAACAATATTTTTGCAATATTTTTACTTTAGTGTTTTATAAATTTTTATTTTGTATGTCTATACTATTTATATAAAATATATTTGAATCAACGTTCCCCTATACTTTTTTATCACATTGATAATTATTATTATAAATAACTTTAATCATATATTTAGTTTAGATTAAGATTATTTCATATTTATATGAAATCGTTAGGGACAATGTTTTTAAACCAAAATATTTTTCATATACAAGTTGTATAATGTTTTACCTTAAATGTGAGTATTTCATACAATATGAAGATTTAGTAATTGAAAATACACTGCAAATTGATTTTATTAGCAAAAGGCTAAAACATTTATAAAATACATTAATTTATAATCGTTATGTGTTATCGGATTCATAAAAGTGATGTATATTTTGTAATTTTTGCCTCCCCCCTAGACCCTAAATACATACATTGAGTTAATACCTGGCTGTCACGTTATATGAGTATATATCGACTGATAGATAATATAGTAAACAAGTAAACATCTACTGATATAAAGGATTATAATATTTTTATAGTTATAAAATAAACCTTTTACATTGTAGTATATTTTTTAATCATTGTGACAGGTGCATTTGGCAACATATATTCTTTACTTGGATAAGATTACCGTATAATGGGTTTAATTGGCTTGATAGTCGTAATCAATGGGTAATTCAAGTATTGAGTCCTGTATTGCACATTATGGTTGTAATCAACCAGTTAATTTCCTAAATAGGTTATAAATATTTAAAGTTGTTAATATTATACTAAAAATATTGGATTTTTATTTTAACCAAAAAACGAATTAAATTGTTATTGAATGTTGAATATAATAATTACTGAAGTTACATTTTATAATAAATATTTATTTAATTTTTGAGACAGATACTTTTAATGTACTTTTATGTACTTTTATGTACTTTTATGTACTTTTTATCTCTCTCGCAACCATAAAATGTGATCCTGGATGTAATATTTGCTTCCCTCATAATCCATTCATGACGGCTATCGCTGCAATTAAATTCATCATAATCGAGGTAAATTGAATTATTAGGGTGACCAGCAAAAAAATCGGCAAAAATACTCTCGTTCAAAAAAGTCCACATTCGTGCCATACATCCATCTACGTATGTAGGAAAGCTTAACACTTTTATTTCTACTGGACGTCCTAGATCACTTAGTGCCATAGTATCAAACGATGAGCTAGCTAGATAGGAATTGTCGGAAAAAGTCAAACTTAGCGTATCGTTTGAGGGACTGAATGTAAATACATTTCTCTCAATTCGCTGTAACTGTGTCCGCGCTAGATATAGACTGTTTAACCGGGGTAGTCCATAAAATGCGTACGGCTCGATCAGGGTCAGTTTTTCTCTTAAATATAATGATACCAAATGTGTCAACCCATAGAACGCATTATCCACCCATTAATATTTTAATGGTGGATCCTAAAATAAATTACATAATACATTACATTTGTTGTAATCATAAAATTATTATTTTAAAACATGTTTATTGAATATAATATTAAAATTGACCAACATAAGATAACTATTTATTCATAAATAAATTCTGAACATTCAATTTACTTTTATTATAAATTGTTGATTCATTGCCTTATAACACAAATTCAGATAAATTGTTATTTAATTAATAGTTTTTTATGTTATGTTGTAAGCACATTTATAATTTATTTATGAAATACAATTATGTAGTATAACTAATTATCTTAATAAAATTATTGTTATTGTAACTTATTTAAGAAATTTTTTATTTTATTGTTAAATATGATTAATAATGTAAATGTTAATGATGCAAATAATTTTGAAAGAATAATTAGTTTTATACCAGTATTATTGCTATTGATAATAAAATGATTAAAAAACTTATTTATATTTTATTATATTTTTAATTATACAACATATATTAGAAATATTAAACTTATCTATCTAATTTTTATTAACAATTTGTACAACACATTTTTCTAGTTATTAAGACAAAATTATAAAATAATTAAATACAAAACATTCAAATTCAAACATAAATATGATAATTGATAATAAATTCAAAAATAAATGGACTTTAAAAGTTGTCATAAAATTATCCATAGTCAAACCTATCCAATTATTTCCATGACCATGTTCAGAATTTTGTTCATAGTAACTTTGCGACCAATATTCAATCAGTCCACTACTAACCATATGTGATAACCTATTTAGTATGAATATAAGCATGTTTAAATATACATAATAAACTAAACAGCACTGTATTTGAGAGGCAACTCAAGGATCTTAGCCATAATTTACATGGTGATAGTTTATGCATATTAGA